AGCGTGTCAGTGCTCAGACCATACGCTGCACACTGCATCAAATTGGTCTGCATGGCTGTCGTCCCAGAAGGAAGCTTCTTCTAAAGATGATGCACAAGAAAGCCCACAAACAGTTTGCTGAAGACAAGCAGACTAAGGACATGGATTACTGGAACCATGTCCTGTGGTCTGATGAGACCAAGATAAACTTATTTGGTTCAGATGGTGTCAAGCGTGTGTGGCAGCAACCAGGTGAGGAGTACAAAGACAAGTGTGTCTTGCCTACTGTCAAGCATGGTGGTGGGAGTGTCATGGTCTGGGGATGCATGAGTGCTGCCGGCACTGGGGAGCTACAGTTCATTGAGGGAATGAATGCCAACATGTACTGTGACATAATGAAGCAGAGCATGATCCCCTCCCTTCGGAGGGCAGTATTCCAACATGATAACGACCCCAAACACACCTCCAAGACGACCACTGCCTTGCTAAAGAAGCTGAGGCTAAAGGTGATGGATTGGCCAAGCATGGGCATCCTCAAACGGAAGGTGGAGGAGCGCAAGGTCTATAACATCCACCAGCTCCGTGATGTCGTCATGGAGGAGTGGAAGAGGACTCCAGTGGCAACCTGTGAAGCTCTGGTGAACTCCATGCTTAAGAGGGTTAAGGCAGTGCTGGAAAATAATGGTGGGCGCACAAAATATTGACACTTTGGGACCAATTTGGACATATTCACTTATATATATACACACACATACACATTTTCTGCCCCCATATCTTGAATTTTGTGTTCATTCAAAATGCATTATAATAGACTGAATCACGCAGTGAAAGAACCCTAAGGGCCCTATTTTAACGATCTAAGCGCATAGTCCAAAGCGCACGGTGCAATTGCGGTTAGGGCGTGTCCGAATCCACTTTTGCTAGTTTAATGATGGGAAAAACGGTCTAAGCATGGTCTAAAAGGGTTGTCCCTATTCTCTTAATGAGTAATGGGAGTGTTTTGGGCGTAACGTGCCATAAACCAATCAGAGTCTCATCTCCCATCCTCTTTAAAAGCCAGTTGTGCTCGTGCCACGGCGGGTTCGCTATTTGCATGGCGGAATTTAAATTTAAATTTAAAAAAATGTTTGTCTGCTGCTGCCCTGTGTGTAATAAGCAAAGTGTACGCGCGTTGTGCACCTGTCTGTAGGCGCATATTACTAACGCACTCTTTAAATAACAAAGAAAAAATATGGGCGCACACATGGGCGCAAATGCATTAGCTGTTTAAATAACGTGGCACAGGACGTGAAAATGACAGCTGTGTCGGGCTGAAATTAACAAAAACACTTGCGTCGCGCCTGGCGCCAGGTGTATGATAGAGCCCTAACTGCGCACGCGCACTAGTCTAACCTACTACATTCATGGCCAAAAGTTTTGGGAGTGACAAATTTTGTGATTTGCAAAGTTTGCTGCTTAAGCTGTTGTGGTGTTCATTCACATTGTTTCTAGATTATTGTGTAGAGTGATCAGATGCATTTTAAATAATTGCTAAAAGCTTCATTGGCCAAAAAATGAACTTTTCATAAAAAAACAAATTTCACTGTGTTTTGATCCAGACACAAAATGACCAGCTAACGTTAATTGACTAATCATATCAGCAGCACATGTTAAAGTGTAAATGACTAATAGTCAGGTGAAATCACTATCATACTAAATAGATTGTAAGAGCAGACTTGCTATAAAAGGAAGGAAGAGGCGCTTCCAATCATTGTGTTCTTGTTAACAATGGTTACCTCCAAAGAAACAAGTGCAGCCATCATCGCTTTGCATCAAAATGACCTCACGTGCAAGGAAATTGCTACAAAGAATATTGCACCTGAAAGAACCATTTACCGGATCATCAAGAACTTCAAGGAGAGAGGTTCGACTGCAGTGAAGAAGTCTTCAGGGCGTCCCAGAGTGTCCAGCAAGCGCCAGGACCGTCTCCTCCTGAGGAGTCAGCTACGGAATCGTGTCACCACCAGTGCAGAGCTTGCTCAGGAATGGCAGCAGGTTGGTGTGAGAGCATCTGCACGCACAGTGAGGCCAAGACTTTTGGACAATGGCCTGGTGTCAAGAATGGCAGCAAAGAAGCCACTTCTCTACAAGAAAAAATGTCAAGGATAGACTGAAATTCAGCAGGAAGTACAAGGATTGGACAGCAGAAGACTGGTGCAAAGTTATTTTTTCTGATGAAGCTCCCTTCCGACTGTTTGGGACATCTGGAAAATCGATTGTTCAGAGAAGAAAAGGTGAACACTATCGCTATCATGAGTCCTGTGTTGTGCCAACAGTGAAGCATCCTGAGACCATCCATGTGTGGGGTTGCTTTTCAACCAAGGGAGTGGGCTCTCTCATAATTCTGCCCAAAAACACTGCCATGAACAAAGAGTGGTATCAAAACATCCTGCAAGAGCGACTTCTTCCAACGATCCATGAGCAATTTGGTGATGATCCGTGTATTTTCCAGCATGATGGAGCACCATGTCACAAAGGAAGAGTGATAAAGAAGTGGCTCGAAGATCATTACATTGAAATTTTGGATCCGTGGCCAGGCAACTCCCCGGATCTCAATCCCATAGAGAACCTGTGGTCAGTCCTGAAAAGGCGAGTGGACAAGCAGAAGCCCACAAATTCACGGGTTGCCATGAATACCTTTACTTTCCTGTGTTTATATGATATGAGGATTGTTTTACTCAAATGAAATGGTAAAATGCACATGAAGTGACTCTCAGAGCAGTTCTGGAGATGTTGTTCTTGTATTTATGTCCTCATTAGTGAGATGGCAGACGTTAATATCACCAGAAGCGGCACGCACGCTTCAGTACGAGTAGTACACAAAACCGCGCATCTGCGCCATTCATTAACACATAGACACGCAGAATTCATATTTAAATAGTCGTTGTGTGGCTTAATATTCACAAATACTAGTGGGAGTGGGAGTGTACTCATTTGTGTGCACGCATCGGGGCGGACCTCCGCTGTGAGAGCGCGACCATGTAACATAGAGACAGAATTGACATGCCGTCGTATAAATAAGATAAATAACATAAGGCTATTTAGTTTATTTAATAAAAGAACAAGTTATAGACCAAGGTATAGCCGCCCCCCTAATATAATGGCAGGGGAAACACTGAATACTTTAGTACACTTTTTGAGTATCTGTACTTTACTTGAATATTATTTTTTGGGGGAAACGTAGGACTTTAACTTCACTACATTTGAAAGACAAATATCAAACTTTTTACTCCACTACACTTCCATCAAGGACCTAAAAGTTGTCATTATGTAGCAGCTTTGAAAGTCAGTGGGTGATTTTTTTTTTTCTTCTCTGAAATGTGACTTCTTTTTTTTTATCAGTAATCAGTAATTTATAACACCCTATCAGTAATCACTCTTGTCGGGTTATGTGATGTCCCAGCATTTTTTAAACACTGACCATTTGCAATTGTGATATTTATTTACAACAATTCAATAATAAGAAGTTAATATTGTGGTATAATTTAGACAAAATATTGTCTGAATTTGCAAAATTGTGTAAATGAAAATATTACCTATAAACCACAGGAGAACTTTTGTGCATCTCCTAAAAAACACAAGGTGTTTGACTTGATGCAGCATTGCACAGTCCATTCTGTGTAAGACATCAAAAGTACCACAAGAGCAATTAGAGAGCAATTTTTGACATTTTTGTTTTGATGTCAAATAAATCTTGCTGTTTTGCTTTTTTGATAAGCAGTGTTGCTGTTGTAACGTTATACAGCTACAGTTGTGTTGCTGGGGTTTTAAAGCAGGTTTTTCTTGTCTTATCAATCTGTATTTACAGCCATTTCACAGTCTACTTGGCTCAAATGTGGATGAATGGCTACATGTAGATGTGTGCACACACTGCCAGAGCTGTGTGAGATCACTATGCTGCTGTTTTGGGGGTGGGTAGGGGTGTTAAATAAAAAGTTTTTTTTTTTCAACTCACTTGTTTCATTTCTATTGGTTTGTAACATTCTAAAAGCTCTTTATTCCAAAGATACTGCAAGCTAGTCAGTGTATTCAGTAGGCGTAATATATTGTAAGTTGTTTCAGAGGCATAAGGTATTGCAAGTATTACATACAACAATAACAAAACAGTGCATTGACTTTTGGTACTTAAGTACTTTTAAATGCAAGTACTTCTGTACTTTTACTTAAGTAAAAATCTGACTTTACAACTTTCATTTGTAATGGAGTAATATTTGACCAGCAGTATCTGTACTTTCACTCAAGTAATGGAGTTGTGTACTTTGTCCACCTCTGCCAAAAATGCATATTGAAGAGCCAGTTGATTGAAACGCTATGAAATACAAGCACTGCTAGTGCATATGCTAGAGTGACCAGACGTTTTTTTTGGTGTCCTGTCCACAGAAATTTCCCTTTTTACAGCACTTTTAAAACACCCCACAAATACACTGCAAACACAATTTTTTTCAAATTACATGTTTTTGGTTTATTTTTGTAAATCTGGTTATAATAATATTTTCACCTGTATGCCTTTTGTGATTTTTGGTGAATTAAAATCAGCCAGGCTCAGTTTAAACCACCAACATCGTGATAATTATTAATTATAACAACAGCATTATGAAAACCATATCAATCCCCAGTTTTTAATTGTATAAGATTTAAATATTTTGACCACTGAAATAGGAAATGTTCCTGGTTTTCATTTCAGAAGTCCGTTCACCTCAACACGTTTACTGGTATTGAAACAAAAATACAACATACAAACATATTTTATAAACAGCCTTAAACTGTATGACTCTTTTGAATCAGTTTTACAGGAACATTAAGAAAGTTTACTCAAAATGTAACCTACTACACTAGGATCAAAGCTATTTTTTATCAGTAATAAATACGGATGTTCGCAGCACTTCTCTGACTAGATTTGACATTTAATTTAAAGATATAGTGGGGTTAAATAAATAAAAATCGCACCTAAAAAAACTGACAACTTTAACGAGTAGACCGACCTGCCATTCGTTCGCACTGAAGCACCATCTTTCACCAGGTCTGTATTGATCTCCCAGAGGAAGTGAAACACGGCTGGAGGAGGCAGCATTTTATATATTCAGTTTAACCATGCATCTAGAGGCTTGGGTCATTGGAAATTAATAGTATTTTAGATACTCGGCACATTAAGACAACAGCGCCATGCCACAGAGTCACGTGACACGTCACCAGGCAGGAAAGAGGTATGAGGGCTCTGGCGCACTTCCACATACATTTTATGAATTGGCCAAGCATCAGTATGTTCATTTATTTATTTGCTTATGTTTTATTTACATCATAATTATTTGTATGTATTATTTACGTTTTATTTATTTTGTGTTTTTGTATTTTGCGTTCACCAGTCCTTTTTTTCAACAGTAAATACAAAGTCAAAAGGGACGTAATTCACCCGTTTGGTATGCATCTTAAAACGTAGTTTAAAAAAAATAATAACAATCCGGAATTATGACTCTTTTGCCTTATTGTTGGGAGATACCAACCTCCGCGGCTCTACCATTGGAGAAAGCGTACGTTAACTGTAAACTTGGATCACGTGTGTCTTGATAACCGATTTGTTATCGCTTCTATTGGTCAATTTACAACTGACGTCAAAATTCGCCCTCCTTCAAGGAAGTAACAAACCCCAGTAGGCCAGAGTTGAAACGTTATACAACATAAATAAAAGCACACAAAGCAGAAGGCACGTCGCCCAGAAGGAGCTCCAACGGAACAGTCATGAATCCTGATATTAGCCGTGAACGTGAAAATGCATCTTTTAACCTGGAGATCCTTACGAACATACTGGATGGTGGTGCAGAAAAGACACGCAGGAGGAGAGAAATAGGTCAGCTGTGATCAGAATTATCTGATTTCATCTGCATTGTATATAATTGTATTTATTATAATTGTGTGTGTGTGTGTGTGTGTGTGTGTGTGTATATATGTATGTATGTGGGTGTGTGTGTGTGTGTGTGTGTGTGTGTGTGTGTGTGTGTGTGTGTGTGTGTGTGTGTGTGTGTGTGTATATATATATATATATATATAATGTATGTGTATGTTGTTTTTGAGTGCAAAAGAAAAAAATAATTGATTTGATTTGATCTGTTTATTTATTTCATAGAGACAATACATGTTAATGAACATTAGTATGAAATACAAAATGTAAACAAGCCGGATTATAGCAACAGTACAATTTACATCCGCAGTCCCTAGGCAGGTACACAAAAAAACAAGTACTCCGACATACATACAGCACTACATAAAACACAAATACCCCAAACACATTATTTAAAATTTCTACGTATAATGTTTACACAACTGATTCGTCATAAGCCACTTTTTAAGATGGTATTTAAAAGTGTGATAAGTAGAAAATTGTCTTATTGACTGCGGTAAACTATTCCGATATTTACTCCCTATTAAAGACAATACTTTGTCAAAAAGATTTTCGCCTAAATGGCACCTCGCAAACCCCTCTAATGATAGACCTAGTACCAATACCACAATCTGACATATGTTTTATAAATTCTTTTAATGGAGGTTGGGCAAGCTCACACTAGACCATATAAATAAAACACGCATATTTAAGCCTAATCAATTTCTAATTTCTAATTAATTAAAATATTTCTCAGGAAATGCATTTATTGTACTTTCCACAAAATACAATTTTATATATTTTTTTTCTGCAGACTATTGCTGTGCTTTTATTTTCTATTGTACTATTTCAGTATTTCATGAAAATTACGTGTATAAGGCCAGCGGCACTTTCAGAGTTGCTATATTGCTTTTATAGGGGATGGTGATTCTTATACCAAGTCACTTTACATGTGTATTTGCAGTGACACCCTCTTTCATTATTATTAATTATTATTATTATTATTCTCTTTTCTTTTTTCCCTTTTTTCTTTTGTCATTAAATTGGGCCTCTTTATCTATTTATCTATTCTAAAGTAAACATAACTTTGTGCATAACGAAATTGTATGACTAAAAAAATGAAAGAGAGATTTAATGTTCAGTAGTGTAAGAAAAATCTCTATTTCTATTTCTGTATCATAGATCCTCAGCCAGAACATTTTTTACACCAGCAAGTTTGAGACATCAAGGTAAAAAGTTAGGTTAAAAAATGGCACTCATCACCTGTTGTGCTTAATTTTTATTTCCTAGAGTCTCTGGTGATTAGTGATCCAGACTTCCAGCATGAAGACCTGAACTTCCTCTCCCGCAGTGAGAGATATGATGCAGCAGTGCGGAAGAGTGCTCAGATGATTTTGAAGCTTAGGGAATATGGTATTTCTGATCCAGAGGAGATCTACTCTTACAAGAGGTTTGTGTATTTGCCATTTAGGGATATTGTGTGATTGTGTGATGTATAGAGGATAGAAAACAAAAGTTTTGAGGTCCATATTAAAACAGACTCCCAGTCAAATGCTTGGGTAAGTCTACTCTTTATGATTAGAATTTTCCCCACTCTTTTATATAAAGGTAAAGTCTTGAAAATATGAAAGTTAATTGAAAGTAGTTGAAAGCTGAAAGAAGAATATGAAAGTAAATAATGAGCGCCCTGGTGTTATTGTCACCTTTGTCCCAGCATTTTGTAATCAATGACACGTCATGTATGGGTTATATTCTTGCTTCATTCCAGCTGTTCCTTCATAGTGCCAACATTGCTCAAAGAATCTTTTTATCTTTTATCTTTTTGAACTGGTTTCATCCAAACAATGCATTTTTCTGGATGTGGAGTAAAAAAATCCTGTTTATTTTATAAATTTTTTTTATTAATGGAAATCTAGTAAATATGTTTTTGTCACATTACGTTACTTACTTAATAATGTAACATTGTAGATCCTTTCTACATAACCAAACCAATGGTATGATGTTGTAAAAAAAAGCTTGCGAGTAACATGAAAGCTTATTTATTTTGCAATCAAAGGCAAGTTCCAAAGTGTTTGCAGATAACCTGAGCAAAGGTCTCAGGTTAAAAGTGTGTCAAAGGGAATTAAAGAGAATTAGAGTTTACCAACTCTACTCCTATTCTCAAACTGAAATAGTTGAAGTATGGTTGAAAGTTCACTTTTAATACACATTTAGCACTATGTTGCACTAATTTCAGTTAATGCAGCCATTGTGTACTGTTAATTGATAAATAATTACAAAGCAGTATAAAGCAAAGCAATAATTATATAAATGTGTAAATACATTTGCCTTTAAAAAGTACTTCTGAAAACCAGTGTAAATTTCTGTAACTGCATATTTGCGTGTATCTCTACTTGAAGTTTTATATCTGTTTGCTCTTATCCTGCAGTATTGCGAAGGGTGTGTATCAAGAGCCCTTTGGTGTCCATTATGTCATGTTCATTCCCACCTTAAACAGCCAGTGTACAGCTGAACAGCGCAAAAAATGGATCCCATTAGCCGAGTCATTCCATATGTTAGGCACCTACGCTCAGACAGAGCTGGGGCACGGTCAGTTCCTCTCTCTCAGACAATTATGGGAAATTTACTTTTTTTATTTAGGCCAAACAGAAAGTGTTGTACTTATTGGGTTCAGTGCTAACAATGGATTTATTTAAGTGACCCTTGCAGGTGTTGACAGCCCAGTATGGTCATATTTTAATTGTTTACTGTCTACTAATCATACAGAAATTATGATTGCATGTCAACCACCACGGCTTATGTTTATCTCGATTGCTAAATCTGGGGTGTATTCCAGAAAGCACGGTTAACTTACCGTCAGCTAAACCCTGAACTTTCGGTTGATTAACCCCAAACCTTGCTTACTCGAGGTATGTGGTTCCAAAAACGTGTCCGGGAGTAAGTTCATTCAACTCGAAGTATGTTCCTGGTTAAGACTCAAGACATTCTCAACAGAGCGATGAATCGATGAGTCACTATGGAAACGGACGCTAAGAAAAAGCGTGCCATGCTGTTTCTTTCTTCTTCTTTTGTTCAATGGTCATTTACATGCTTGGTGCATATCGCCACCTAATTGATGGTTGTGCAATCGTTTTTTTTGTTCCCCCGTTTAATCTTTAATCCTTGAGAATATGAATTATATTGTTTGTTTGATTCTAATTATATATTAAGTCATATCAGATATGTATTTTGATTTAGAATTTAGACATTATAGAAAATGCCGATCCATGTGTGAGATGGTAATATAAAATGTAATAAATAAATGTATATAATATAATAAACATTACCTTGTCATAGTGTTTTATAATTTATACAGATAACTGTTATATATGCCAATAAAATAAATATAATAACCACATTAGAATAATATATTACCTTATTTATTACTTATATTAGCGCTTCATCATTAACATATCTTACTAATATAAAATGTAATAAATAAATGTATATAATATAATAAACATTACCTTGTCATAGTGTTTTATAATTTATACAGATAACTGTTATATATGCCAATAAAATAAATATAATAACCACATTAGAATAATATATTACTTACTTATTTACTTATATTAGCGCTTCATCATTAACATATCTTACAAATATATATATATATATATATATATATATATATACACACACACACACAGGGATGGATTATGACGCAGCGGTGCCCTGGGCAAGAAGGCCTCCTTCGGTGTTCTTTCCTTTTTTATTCGAAATATCTCCAAACGATTCTCAAATATGTGTAAGTAAATTTTGCGTCTTTATAGGTGATGTTAGTTGAACTATAATGGGCGATGGGCAAAGTAGCCTAATAAGTGTTAGTGTAAAGATGGGGATACTGCAATTAACAGTATTTATTTATAATGTGCAATGATTGTATTTATGGGCTACCACTTAATAGGTGCAATAATTTGATTTAGATGCCGCTAATCACCATGTGCATTATCAATATCTATATGCCGCTGTCAATTCCTTTTAGTGCTATATTTTTTAATGTAGCCTATGCTGTAGCATCTTTCATCATTTTTATATTTTTACACTGATTCTGTACAGTAGGAGGCTACATGTTTTAGTTAGTACAGTATTTATAAGCCAGTGGAACGGAATTTCATTCATATGTGCACTCTGTGTGTGTGTGTGTGTGTACAGTTGAATGACAATAAAGCTATACCTACCTACTATCTATTAATTACGCATAAAACCCATCTTTTTACTTAAGTACCAGATATGGGTGTCATGCCATAATATTTTTAATACGACTGACTTTGTATTTAACGT